TTTTTTTTTTTTTTTCCTTGGTTTTTTTTTTTTTAAAATGTTTTTTCATGAGCGCTCACCTCTTAACGAGTCGAGCTCCGCTCGGCTTGTCTATGAACCGGTCCGCTCGGCTCGAGCTCGTCAAAACGACTCGTGGGCATGAATAGTACGAGCCGCTCGGCTCGATTGACATCTCTACTGTGTACAAGTTAAGCACCAAAACATCACATCTTAACAATTATTTGCATTTGATCTCGCACACACAGTCTTATGCAAGAAAGGGGAGATGACTTCAAACTGTAAGGTCTTCTAGAAATGTCATATCGATCAAATTGTATGTGATTCGAAGTGTCAAAGTACATCTAGCATAATGTATCGAGCTTCGGAACTTAAACAATATTGGTCTCGGAAAGCCATTCAGTTGTGGCAAAGGTTTGAGAGGAGAAGTGTAAGTCTAAATGAAGTTATGTCGCCTCGAATGTTGTTGTCGATGAGGCATAGGGATGTGCTCTAATTCACTTTAAATTGAAGGCTATCAAGGCGATGATATATGGTCTCATCGTCTCGCATTTGAAGATGGAGGAGGTGACACTCCTGTTGCTACTTGACTTGGTGAATATATGCTTACGTGACATTTTGGTTAGATAGTTGTCACGTGGTCTTTCAATAGGCACGGGCTTAACAGTAATTATCGATGCAACTACTAATCTCCTGTGTCGAGTGTTGAACTCCAGCGACACGTTTTGAAGGGAATCCACCTGGAGGATGAAGATGAGATGAATTCTTTTTTTTTTTTTTCCTTTCTTTTATCCTTATTTTTTTATTTAACCTTGTGTATTTTAATTAAATGTAAGGGTGGATGGTCCCTTTAATCGAAATTAAAATTTGTCACTGTCTTATCTTTAATATACGCTGAAAATTTTATATTTTTTTGGCAAATAGAAAAAGCTTGTGTTTATAATAATGAAGTATTTTACAAGATTTTATAATGTATTTTGCTCTATGTAGTTAAGTACTACGAGTATTAGAGTCTCACATTGACTAATGATATTTACATGATTCACTTAATAAGGTGAGGGCATTCCTCCCCTAACAAGTCGGTTTTGTTAGGTTGAATTAAGCTCAATATCCTTTCTAATATGGTATCAGAGCAGACCAGCTTTGCAATATTGAGTGCACCCAATATCGATTTGTTCACAGTTGTTTGGCATAATCGACGCTGTGTGTGAGGGAGCGTATTAGAGTCCCACATTGGCCGGTGATATTTACATGATCCACTTAGGGGGCAGTCCTCCCCTAACAAATTGATTTTGTTAGGTTGAGTTTGGCCTAATATCCTTTCTAATAATGAGCATATCTAAATTAAAAAAAAGAAAAAAAGTTATAATAATTTGTTGGTTCAAAGGAGAATTGATCTTTCAATTTTAATTTTTGAAGAATTTAATTCTCTAAAATCATAAAAAAAAAAAAATTATATATAAATACGTCTTCCTCCTCCATTTTTTCGTAATATATAAATAGTGATATAAATAATGTGTTAATTCTCACAAATCCTTAAAAAATACACACACTTACCCACTAACATGTAATAATACTAAATAATTAACAGAAAATGTAATATCCATGACTCTAATAATTATCTTGACTCATTTGAATTAATATAATAAGTAAAATAAAAATTTACAATTTTAAAATGAAAATATTAATTAAATTAATATTAAAAATAAGCTCGTAAAGTCAAGCCTATCACCTCCAGGCATCCGTTTCTATCGAGATATTTCAGTATCGATGTTCAATGCCTAGTTCCATTATTGTAGGAAAATTATTATGTAATGACAAATACGTGAAGTAATATTCTATTTTTTATATTTAAATACAAGATATTTATTCAAACATTCACATTTAATGCTGGATAAAATGTTCCAAATATTCTCTTTAATGGTGACCTACTTTGGGAAACTCTATGCTCTTGTTTGGTAGAAATTAAAATCAAATTAAAAATTACGGATTCCATAAAATGCGTGGTTAAAATTAAATATTGACTTTGACTGACGTCAGAACGAAGGGTTGTGAGCAGTTGATTAAGAGTCTGACTAAAGTCTTCTCTACGGTCAGATTTTCTCAAACATGTCGAACTGCCTTAAACGATTTTTCGATCAATTCTCATGGTCGAACGGTGGAAAGACAAAAATGACTGATGAATATACTATTGAACTCTTTAAAAGTCAAATTTATTAAGATCAAAATCTTTACGTGCTGTTTATTACTTCATGTTTGAGCGACACAATAACCTAAATACTTATATATTGATTAGATCTTTTGTAAATAGACAGCAATTCAGGAAGAAAATAAAGCAATATTCTCTATAGATCTTTTTGTTTTTAAACAATATTAAAGCATAAAACAAGAAAAAAAGACAAACTTGATATTTTTGGAAACAGATAAAACGAGAATCGGTGGTGGTCCCCCTAGTGATAAGGCTCTGATGTTGCGGTTAGGTTTGGGGATATTTTTGAACCTTGAAGGCCATGAATGCTTCTAAGATAAGAATAAGAATATTGTGGCTAGGAATAACATGGGAAATTTTGTTCCTCGTTATTGAATTTTCTATTTTGTTATTTCCCCCCTTTTTTTTTGTGAAAAAATTGTGAGGAAAAAATGATTTTGGACATGGTGCCTCGACTTGATAACGGATGTGCTATGCCAAGCCTCGTCTAGTCTTTCTATAGATGGCAAGACGAACCATTGCAGAAGTGCAACCCTTGTTCGACTATTAGAGGTGGTAAAGAAATATTGGGAGTGTGTGTGAGCTTGATGTAGAGATATAAACGATCAAATATCAAATTTGATATCCGATGAAAATAGAGTAATAGAGGATTTTCCGTGATCGTGCTTTCAAATAACTTAAGCGAATAAGTTTCAAGGCCAAACAAATTGAGTATAATAAAACGAACATAAGA